TATTAATTTAAAAAATTATTTATATTATTTATTAATTGATATAATAAAAGAAAATCTAATTAGAGAAGGATATATCTGATGAAAATAAAATAATTTATATAAAACTCTATCACAAATTATCTATTTTATTTTCAATAAAACTCTATCACATTAGACAAAGATATATTTAAAGAGTTTTTATAAAACTTTACACAAATTACCAATTTATCTATTTATTATGAGTTTTTTAATAAAAGGAAATCTAATTATACGAGTATTATTAATATATATTTAGACAAAGATATATTTAAAGAGTTTCTATAAAATTCTAACACAAATTACTGAGCACATGTCATCAAACTTATAAATAGAGGCATGGAGGAATGAGAAAAGGACACAGAAATTAAGAATTCTAGAACTAGATTATCAAATCATCTGTGATGCGGAAGAACTCTATGTTATTCTTAATACAATTAAGTTGTGTATGGTTGTGATTTGTATTATTGGAATTTGATATGTGTTGTTTCATCAGGCAGGTTTGAGTTTTGTATGGTTGTGATTTATATTACTGGATTTTGAGATGGATTGTTAACAATCCAAAATATGGATTGCCATTCCTCCAAACTTTTGAGATCAGAACTGTGAACGAGTGACGAGGCTGAAGTGAGATAATTGTCTTTCTGTACGAAGCCTCCTATTGATTGATCATAAACCTTTGATTATCAAAGGCAAGGGGGCTGGTTAGAGGCGCAGTCTATTTCAACAAAGCCACAGTTAAGGCTGTATAAGAGCCTTTCCATCCAAGTGTTTGGTAAACTTCACTCTTTCTGTTTGCTATCACAAAGTGCTTGGCCGACCAACCCTTTCTACGTGCCCACCTCAGTACAAGCTGCCACCACTCTGTGGTGTTGTATTGCCTAGAACTTGACTGGTTGTGAATTTTGCAAAATTTGCACATGCTATTACCATTTACCACTTTGTTGTAGATATGTTGTATATGTAGATTTTAGTGTATTTGCAATTTTTCCAATTAAATTGAACTTTGCTTATAGAAAATTTGCATCATTCACAGACTCACACTATTCCTTTTTCTTAAACAAAGAAAGAAAAAATATTTCTATCAAGCAATACTGTTGAATACTTTGGTGTAGTTACAATGCACTTACAACATTCACCCCATTCACTTACAAGTGTCTTTTCACTTTCAAATTACCTAATAAAATTTAAATTACTATAAAACTATAAAATATTTATTAATTAGTATAAAAAATTTATATTATTATTAAAAGACGTTTATACTATTATTAAATGTGCAAAGAGTTTTTCACTATTTAAAAAAAAAAAAAAAAATTATTAATTGATATAAAACTCTAAAAATTACCTAATAAAATTCAAATTACCTATTTATCTATTTCTTTCTAAAAAAATTACCTAATAAAATAAATCACCAATTTCAAATTACCTAATAAAATTCAAATTACAAATTACCTAATAAATCTCTACTATTGTTAAAAGAGTTCCCTATTTATCTATTGGTTTCTAAAAAAATTACTTAATTAAATAAATCACCACTTTCAAATTACCTAATAAATCTATACTATTTTTAAAAGAGTTTATATAAAAATGTAACAACAAAATAAAAAAAAAATATATTTATTAATTAATAATATGAAAATAGTTTTATAATATTTATTAATTAATATAAAAATAGTTTTTATAAAAAAGTTATTTCTAAATTAATATAAAAATAGTTTTTATAAAACTCTAAAATTACCTAAAAATATAAATCATCACTTTCAAATTACCTAATATACAAATTACCTAATAAATCTATACTATTATTAAAAGAGTTTCTATAAAACTGTAACACAAAATATAAAAAAATATTTATTAATTAATATAAAAATAGTTTTTAAGAGTTTTATAATATTTATTAATTAATATAAAAATAGTTTATATAAAAAGATTTAATTATGAATTAATATAAAAATAATTTTTATAAAAAATCTAAAAATTACCAAATAAAATAAATCACCACTTTCAAATTACCGAACAAAATTCAAATTACAAATTATAAAACTACAACACAAAATATAAAAAAATATTTATTAATTAATATAAAAATAGTTTTATAAAAAGAATTTCTATAAAATTCTAAAATTACTTATTGAAATCAATAACCACTTTCAAATTACCTAATAAAATTCAAGTTACAAATTGCCTGATAAAATTCAAATTACACAAATAGTTTTAATAAGAAGAGTTTCTATAAAACTATAAAATATTTATTAAAAAAATATTTAATAATTAATATAAAAATAGTTTCTATAAAACTCTAAAAATATAAAATATATATATTAATTAATAGAAAAAGAGTTTTTACAGAAAGAGTTTCTAGAAAACTCTAAAAATTACCTAATAAAATCAATCGCCACTTTGAAATTACCTAATAAAATTCAAATTACAAATTAAAAATTATCTAATAAATCTATACTATTATTAAAAGGGTTTCTAAAAAACTCTAACACAAAATATAAAAAAATATCACCACTTTCAAATTACCTAATAAAATTTAAATTACAAATCACCAAATAAAAAATTCAAATTACAAAAAGAGTTTCTATAAAACTATAAAATATTTATTAATTATTAAAAAAAAAAAATCTATACTATTATTAAAAGAGTTTCTATAAAACTCTAATACAAATTACAAAAGAAATATTTATTAATTAATATAAAAATATTTTTATAAAAATAGTTTCTATGAAATATTTATAAATTATTTTTTAATATCAGTATAACAGAGTTTTTATAAAAATAATTTCTATAAAACTCTAGAAATTACCAAATAAAATCAATCACCATTTTCAAATTACCTAATAAAATTCAAATTACAAATTATCTAATAAATCTAATTTCTATAAAACTCTAATAAAATTTAAATTACAAAGATAGTTTTTATAAATGAGTTTCTATAAAACTATAAAATAATTATTAATTAATATAAAATATCTATTAATTAATATAAAAAGAGTTTTTATAAAAAGATTTTCTATAAAACTTTAAAAACTAGCTAATAAAATCAATCACCACTTTTAAATTACCTAATAAAATTCAAATTAAAAATTATCTAATAAATCTATACTATTATTAAAAAGGTTTCTATAAAATTCTAACACAAAATATAAAAATAAAAATAAAAAATTTCACCATTTTAAATTACCTAATAAAATTCAAACTACAAAAATAGATATTATTAAAAGAGTTTCTATAAAACTATAAAATATTTATTAATTAGTATAAAAAAATCTATACCATTATTAAAAGAGTTTCTATAAAACTCTAACACAAAATATATATATATATATATATATAAATTATTAATTAATATAAAAAGAGTTTCTACAAAACTATAAAATATTTATTATTTAATATAAAATATTTATTAATTGATATAAAGAGTTTTTATATATAGGGTTTATAAAAATAGTTTCTATAAAATTCTAAAAATTACGTAATAAAATTAATCACCATTTTCAAATTACCTAATAAAATTCAAATTACTAGTTACCTAATAGATCTATTTTTTATAAAATTCTAATACATCGGATTTTCTAATATATCATACTTAGATGATTCATCCATCAATGAAAAACCTTATTTTGTTTCTTTTGTGGTGATGATTATATATTACTCTTTAAACATTGTTGATACTATGAAAACTATAAACAATTAAAAATATATATGAACAAAAATATTCACCACGTGCAACGCACGTATCTTTTCCTAGTATATATATATATATATATGTATATATATATAAACACATATACACACAATATATCTTCAGAACTTTTTAATATATTTTGGGTACTTACTTGTTGCCTTTGATCTTGAACCAAGCATCAGCACAGTGTCTATGGGCAGCAGCCAAATCATCCTTACATGAACAACCCATATACACACAATATATCTTCAGAACTTTTTAATATATTTTGGGTACTTACTTGTTGCCTTTGATCTTGAACCAAGCATCAGCACAGTGTCTATGGGCAGCAGCCAAATCATCCTTACATGAACAACCCAATTCAATAGGAATCCTAGATTCTAGATTCGATGCATCCAAGCTCAGATGACATATCCTGCAATCTCTCTCAATTTTGGCCAAATGTACCTTAATCTCCGGCACACCGACTTCCAGATCCACCTCCACCGAACACTCCGTGCCCCCTCTTATCAGAAACCCCAAGAATCTCAGTACCAGAGATGCTTGTGGAACCGAGCGTGATCGTCGTCGGCGTCAGAGGAGGTGGAGCTGCGCAGACTTCCTTCGCCGTGGCTCAGGGCGGTGGAATGGCGTCGACCACCACCGTCGTCTTGGAATTCTAACATTGGTTTGGGTTTGGGTTTGGGTTTGGTCTGTGGAGACGAGAGAGGCGGTGGAGGAAGATGGCGAAGGGAGGCAGTTGAAGATTTCTTGGAGATATTACTTGCCTTTACGCAGTTATGGGTTGTGGGTTAAGAATTATCATAAATGGCGGTGGAGTGCTGGTTGGGTTGGAGGAGGATTTGGGTGTATTTGTTTCTGGTTTGATGATCTGATAGCCCAAACATAAGAAACAATTCCAATATATTTGTTTCCAATGCACTGTTGTTATACGATTATATTTTAGGCTTGTTTGAAAAAAATTATTTTGTCAGTGCTAACATGTCCCTGAACCAAATTCCTGACTCCATCCCTAAAACAGGTTAAGTGGGGTGCTGAGGAACAGCACCAACATTTGACAGCACTAAATCCTACCATCACTTCCACTACTAAATTCACTGTTCATTTTTCTTATTTTCTTTCTTCTAACAGTGGGCGGAACGTATTCTCTTTGCACTTATGGCAGTATAAAGAGCGGAACTTATTCTCTTTGCACTTATTCTGTTTGCACTTTTGGCAATTCTGTTTGCACTTATTCTGTTTGCACTTTTGGCAGTATTAAGAGAGAGAGAGTAGTGTTGTCTAATCTAACAAGATCAACAGAGAAAAAAGAGAGAAGATGGGAGGAGCGTGGTCTTACTCTAAAAAGATCAGCAGAGAAGAACTGAAGGCAGGCGATCACATCTATTCATGGAGGAGGAGTGGCTTACACCTCTACGCTCATCACGGTCCTTCCTCTCCTTTTAATTCTTCTCTCATTTTTTATCCATTAATTCTTCTATGATTACCACTACTACACACATCTCATGCCTAATCTTTGCTTACAACATATTCTTTCTATGTTAAATTATATGATATTGTTGTACCATTTTCCTCAATTCACCCTCAAAGTTATTGTTTATTATTAAATTTCCACCCATTATTAGCTCTATTGTTTCTTTTTCTATATATGTACGTATATTTTTACACTATATTTACCGTTATCAAATTCAATATAGTGAGATAGATACTTACTTACCAAATTAAAGATGGTAATTTAATTACCATTTATGAGTCCACATCAACTATCAGTATAATTTAGATCCTTAATAATATTGTTTTTTTCTCGAGGTTGTATAGTTTCCTGCTATCTGATTTTGATTACTTGTTGGACTGAAGTTGTAGTGTGGGGCATAGAAATTTTGATGCAAAAAAGTAATATAACAATCAAGTAATCAACTATATTCATATAATAATGCAATCTCCAGCTGCTTCCATAAGTTTAATCTTGTGGGAAATCCTGGTTGTCGAACATCATGCTGTCTTTTAGCGCTGAGACTGTTCAAAGTATTGGGGTGAAGCATTTTTAATGTATCAATCACCATTAATCTGACATGATTTGTGATATTTGTTTACCCTTTTCGTTATCACATTCCATTTTAATCCGGTCTCATTGAAGATCATGGTACTTATTTTATTTTATTTTATTTGATCAGGCATATTACATTTTCAATTGGAAAAAAGACACCTTTTTTACAGTAGTACACTTCATAAAGGTGGGAAGATTTTGAAGTTAAAAAAAAAAAAAACATCTTAACAAATGGTATTGCCTTGGCTACTTGTTCAGTAATTTTGCAACGAGTTAGACAATTGGCCAATTTAACCCCATCATGGCATCACCAATTTGTTTTAATTTAGAGAGAATCGTTATACATGAGGATGTCATCTTTATAAAAGGAGGATGTCGTCTTTATAATTAAAGATGTATTTTTGGGCTTCTTCTGGAAGACCGGGAAAGGTAAAAGGTGGATATTGGACTTCACCTTGTTAAGCTACTCTTGAAAAATGTTCACCTATTTTAATTTGTGCATTTATTTTTCCCATTTAAACTCCTTTTAGTGCTCGTCCTATTATTCTTTATATGTTTTATTTAAATATTTTTTGGGGACCAATTCTACTTTATTATTTTAGTTGAATTGTTTACAAGAAGTAAGAGACTGAAGATATTTTTACCCTCAAAATTAGGAGGATTCGTATAACAGATTTGGGCATAACCACACGGTGTTCTTTTCCTTATCCTTTCCTCTAACACCTCCTTTTTATTTATACTTGTATTCATAATATTTTGAATATCAATATTGAACATATTACTAAATTCTTTTAGAATTTCATCAATTATAGCTCAATATATCACTTATTACCAAAGTTTTGGTAACATGTCTGCCATGGACAACAGGGATATATGCAGGTGAGGGGATGGTGATCCACTTCACTCAGGCTGCGGGCGGCGTTTCAGTTAGCTCAGCTTGGTCAGCTGCACCTACTTACTCCCGTTGCCCAATTTGCGGGTATCACTCGGGGCTTAATGGTGTCATATCTTCCTGCATTGATTGCTTCCTTTCTGGTGATGAACTCTTCCTGTATGAGTATGGTGTCTCACGGGCCCGACGAGGGATCAGTACCTGTAAAGTTTCTGATCCACCCGAAATTGTCCTTGATCGTGCTGAATCTATTCGTCGTAATGGTTTTCCTGGCTACAACATCTTGATCAACAACTGTGAGAACTTTGCAATCTATTGTAAGACGGGTGAAGGCGTTGGCATCCCGATTGGACAGGCAAACCCATTTTAAGCTTTCATTAAGAGCATCCCCAACCCACCTGCCATATGAACAGTCAATTCAAAATATAATAGGTGGATTAAAATTGTGGTCTCCAATGGCATACTATATTACCTATCAAAATTTGGCTTTGTCATTTTTGGTGCCAAATCTAGCACAAGAAGCTATTTTTGAAAAGAGAGAGAGAGAGAGAGGGGCGATGGAAACTAAAAGATATGGGTTTTGATTTTTTGAACAATCTGAAATGATATGCCGATATATATATATATATATATATATATATATATACATATATTTAAAAAAGATCATAAAAAATTTCACCAAATAGGATTTAGTTTGCAAAACAAGAATTACAGACCTTGATTAGTTGATTTAGAAAAAAAATTAAAACAAAACCCATACGTACAAGTTAGCAATTGCAGAGAGAGAGAGAGGGGGGGCAAGCTTGAGAGTTGAGAGACAGCGGTTGAAGCTTGCAAACGGCGAACCCGAACTGGAACAACGAGCGATGGAAACTGAAAGATATGGGTTTTGAACTTCTGATTCTTGTTGATTTTGTAGTTTGCAGTTGCAGGGAGAGGGAGGCAATTTCAGAGTTGAGAACAAGAATAGAGATGGACGCGATTGGGGAGGTTTAAATGATTTGCCCAAAAACTATATATATATTTGGGAGGCTGAAATGATTTGCCCTATATATATATATATGTGTGTGTGTGTGTGTGTGTGTGTGTGTGTGTATATATATATTTAATAATAATATAATCATATATATATAATATACATATATATGTATATAATATATATAAATTTCTGAAAAAGAAAAAAAAATTAGATAAAAAAAATTTATATAGTAATATAATCAAATATATAAATTTATACATATATATATATATTTTTTGGGTCCTTTTTTGACCAGATATTTTAGATTTTTGATTCTTTTTAATTAAATTTAATTTTAGTTTCCTTCTAATGTCTACAACTTGACTTGGAATGTACCTAATATTAACATTACTGATGCAAATATAAATTGTGGGAATGGTAGTTGAAAAGAATAGTGGTCGTGTCAAAAAATAGTGGTTGTATAAAAAAATAGCATTTTGCATAAAATGCATCATTGGAGCAGAATTGCTAAAATGTAGCATTTTGATATTGTAGCACTGTCAAAATAAAGATTTGGCATCCAGAATTTAGCATTTTAGCATTGGAGATGCTCTTAGAGCAAGAGCATCTTTAATCCAATGCTAAAAAGGTTGTCATTTCTAAAATTTAGCAAGGGGACTTCAAAAGGGGCTCTCCAATGCAATGCTAAAATGGCTGCCAATTTTTAACTTTGCCAAAAGTTTTGCCAATTGTAGCACAAGAAATAGCTACTGCTATTTCAAAGAGAGAGAGAAAAAGAGATAGGCGGGGATTCAGAGGCCATATATATATATATATATTTAAAAAAGATCATAAAAAATTTCACGAAATAGGATTTAATTTGCAAAACAAGAATTACAGACCTTGATTTTATTTGATTTAGAAAAAAAATGAAAACAAAACCCATACGTACAAGTTAGCAGTTGTAGAGAGAGAGAGGGGGCAAGCTTGAGAGTTGAGAGACAGAGGCTGAAGCTTGCGAACGGCGATCCCGAACTGGAACAGCAAGCGATGGAAACTGAAAGATATGGGTTTTGAACTTCTGATTTTTGTTGTAGTTTGCAGTTGCAGAGGGAGAGAGAGAGAGAGGGCAATTTCAAAGTTGAACGAGAATAGAGATGGAGGCGATTAGGGAGGCTGAAATGATTTGCCCTAAAAATATATATGACGAGGAGGCTGAAATGAGTTGCCCTAAATATATATATATATATATATATATATATATATATATAAAATAAAATATATATATATATATTTAATAAAAATGTAATTAAATATATAATATATATATATATACATATAATATATATAAATTTCTGAAAAAGAAAAAAAAATTATATAAAAAAATTTATATAATAATATAATCAAATATATAAATTTATACATATATATATATATATATTGATCCTTTTTTGACAAGATATTTTAGATTTTTTATTCTTTTTAATTAAGTTTAATTTTAGTTTCCTTTTAATGTCTACAACTTGACTTGGAATGTGCCTAATATTAACATTTACTAATCCAAATATGAATGGTGAGAATGGTAGTTGTGTCAAAAAATGGCATTTTACATAAAATGCATCATTGGAGCAGAATTGCTAAAATGTAACATTTTGACACTGTAGCACTGTCAAAATATAAATTTGGCATCCAAATTTAGCAATTCTGCATTGGAGATGCTCTAATGGACTCTATTTGGACTGCTATTTTCAAAATATAGCATGTGGGTTTAAAATGGGTTCTCCAATGACATGCCAAATGGGCTGCCAAAATATAACTTTGCCAAATGTTGTGCCAAATATAGCACAACATATAACTATTGCCAAATCTGTTATTGCTCTCTTCCTTCTCTCTTCTCTCTTGGGCTGCCAATTTGGTGTTGGGCTGTCAATTTGGTGTTGTACTTGTGTATATAGATATATGATAGGGAAAAATAAACCTACCTTGACCAACCGCTAGACCTCTTCGACTTTCGAATGATAACATTTCATCATCAAAGATAAAGATTTCCATCAGATAAGAATGATGACAACTCTTATCCAGGATAATGAATGACGACGTGGTTCAACAGGGTAAGGATAACCTGAGCACAATTTGAGAAAGTTAAAGGAGTAAATCATATCCCCGACAAATCTGGCAACAAACAATCTCATCTGATCTCGCACAAGCGGATCTCATGCAGGACCAATTTGACTTCAATCGACAGACATAAATAGGGCACCGAGCCGTTAAAGAAGGTATGAGAAAAAACCCCTAGAGAGAATATACATAATGATTATGTGATACGATTACAAGTACTAACTTAATCGTCGGAGGGTCCTTGGCTGGCACCCCACCGGTGCCATTCGAAGTGACGTCCCTTTGTTTTGCAGGTTAACACCATCATTACGAGTCGTGAGGATTTACGCATTAACAACTGGCGCCGTCTGTGGGAATGACTAGTTCTCTAAAGAAATAATAATCCTGGCGCTACTTGGCTCGGACGGCAAGACGAAAGTTTCCGATCATGGAAACCATCCCAAAGTCATCAGTTAACACGGGTTTCCATGTTCTTATATAAGGACGGGACTCTATATCCTGATTACCCGTCCATCATATTGGGGGCAAAACGGTAGGCTGCGTGATGCCACCCAGTGTACGATGATAATAATCTGGCATGTCGACCCAGGCAGTCCAATGTGGTGTTTTCCATCTAGCGATGCTTGGTCCCCTCACTACGGAGGTTTGGTCATCTAAGACCAAACTCTATCTCATATCGGGCAGTAACCAATTACCAAGGCCTGATCGTTGAAGACTAAGGCCAAGTCCTTCTGCACCTACATAAATGTGTAGGTCTCCACCCATCAAGAAGATCACTACCAACAGGAGGTCCAATGTCCCTCAAGATCCCAGGTCCAATAAGGTCTGTATTCCCAAGGAGGTTCCTAAGTTAAGGGCGATCATTGGACCCAACGAGGTACTGGCCACCAGACTATCATCTGGTACTTGTAATGACCCGGATTTTTCGGATAAATTTTTTTCGTTGTCTTTTCCCTTCTGAGTTTGGTTTCTTGTCGATTAGTGTCGTCTTGAGTGCTCTGGAGTGATTTCCGTGACTCTTTTCTTTGGATTGACAACTTCCTTTGAGGACCGAGTCAATTCCGCATTTTTCGTTTTTCGACATTATTCACTTTTTGTCTTTTCTCCGTTGTCACTTTGTTGGCATAACCACACTTTTTGTGTTCGGAGTTGGTTTCAGACTTCATGTATCTTCATTCTCAATGATTTCTATGAGATACGTATCTTTACTTTCCTAAGAAAGTACTCTGGTTACTTCTGATGCCCATAGGGGCATAAATGCAAAGTTCTTTGGAAAATTTTTCTTTTCTTGGGGTATTTTTCATAAATATCTTTTGAAGATATTTTATTTCAGGGTTATCTAAGAAAATATATTTTGGGAGATATTTTCATTCTGGGGCAGTTTCGCAATTTTCACTTTTTGGAGGGGCCATTGTGCAATTAATGAAAGTTATTGCTCAATGCCTTGTTTTGAGCCTGGATCCTCGTATGAGATTCATTTTCACATTTCGTCGAGTCATGGACTCTTAGAATTTCCTCCTGGATGATGTTTTCCAGTTTCAGTGTTTTTGGCCCCCGTTTATGCCAAACTTATTTTGGGCATAACTCTCTGCTCGAGACTCGATTTTCAACACCGTTTCTTCCATTGTTCATATTTTCTCATTTGGAATCTTTTTCATTCACGGAGTTTTGCCGTTTGAGCACATCTACTCGAATTTCACTTTTTCGGATCCGGTGGGGCCCGTTCGGGACACTTTTTGAGTTTTTCTATAAATAGGAAGTCTTTAGTGAAAAAATCAAATTTCACTCTCTCTTTCCCCTCTCTTGGCCGGATCTCATGGCAGCCATGGCTGCCATCTTCTCTCTTTTCTTTTGAGCTTCCTCCCCTCACTAAAAAGTGGTGATGCCTTAATGTTTATTGTTCCCCTCGGCGAGGCCTTCAATTCCAACCGATTGGAATCTCGTCTTGGTCATTTCTTGAGTTCAGGTTTGAAGTCAAGTTGTGTTTTTGATGGGGCTTTCTTGGGATTCATGTTCGTGGTGTTGTCCCCAACAAAACCTAAGAGTTTCGTCGGATTCAGAGCCAATTCATTTTGGTGGGGATTTGAGATTTCATCTCAAATGGAGGTAGGAAATGTTTTAGGATTATTTGTGTGTTGTATTGCGTGTTTGCCATGATTATATAACATATATGTATGCCTTGTATCAAATCTAGAAAGTTAGTAATTTTTATTTCTTTGTATAAGATTTAAAATTCATGATGATGTGTAACTTGAATTTGAATTGTGGCATGCTAGAAAATCTTGTTTTAATATGTTAGTTAACATATATTAAATTTGAATTAATTAAATAAGAATTGCTCTTTTTAATTAATATTTATCTTTTGTGAAAGATTAAAATTCATGGTCGTACTTTGCATGACATTGAGTTGTATTACGCTTCTAAATTGAGTTTTGGCATGTTTGTTAACATACTTTAATCTGAAAGCATTTGGTTGAGTTTAAAAATTTAGAGACTTTAATTAAAATGATTAATTAAAATCTATTTTTGTGGTTTCATGGGTCTAATTAAGCTTTTGTGTGAATATATGTAATGACCATGATATGTCTATTAGTATATGTTAAATTGGGGCCAATTGGAAATGATTTGAAATCTAGAGAGTTTAATTATTTTGATGTAATTAAATTCTATCTTGTTTATCCATGGATCTAATTATGTTTTAGAAGTTGTTTCTATTTTAAGAGCATGGATTTAGACTTGTGATGTATTCACTTGATTGTGTTATATGCATTGAAGAGCATTGTTGTTAAATTTATATTCATGAGAGTATGTTTCTAATATGAATATATTGTTGGCTTGTGATTTCATAGCATGCACAATTGAAAGTTATATTACTAACTTGTTACTATGTAGTAGTAATATGTATAAGTCATGAACTTATTTGGTTTATTTTTGAGTCTTGGGACATTGTTGTTACATGTGATATGGCTAAAGTTCGACTTTAGTGCGGGAGGTATGAGTTCTCCCCAATTGAGATAGTGC